TATATATATATATAAACTGAGTCATGATTGTTGGTCTCATGACAAACAAAAATGTAGTGTAATATTTTAAAAACATACTCTACTTTTCTCTCATTAAGTTCAAGCAACAAGGTATATTTTACATTAAATCATGGATGACCAAACCATGGCTTTGTAGTGACTTAATTGTTGAAATAATTATTGTATAGTGAAAAAAGATAACCTGACATTGCTGCTTTTTCTCTTTGAAAAATAAAGATAATTTTTAATAGTTATCTTGTGTTTTCTCATGCATTCATTTTAACTTCACACATAATTATTGCTGTGGCTGGCTTACAAGGACTGAAGCAGTCACAAGCAGTGATGTGCAGGAACTTGATGCCAACCCAGTTCGTCATAGTTTTGCCAAGCCTCACAAAACAGTGACCAAAACCGCCCCACCTGACCTCACCTCCTGGCCATCAGTTTTGGCAGGGGCACTCCCTGCCCCTTTGTGAAGTGTAGCTGCTGCATGGCTGGAGATGACCCTGCTTCAGCTGATTAGCCTGTGAGGGGGTTTCAGTCACAGTTTTGCATGGGCAAAGGTGAACTCCAGTGACCTGGGCTCGCACCAAGACCCCGCACCTCTCCAGTCACGAATTGAAGTTGGAAGCGTGGTCCTTATAATATAGTAATACAGGACCTTCTCATTTGCTGCTTTGCATGACTGCAGGGCACACTCACCAACAGCAAAAGTAGCTGGGAGTCTCAGTTGGTGGCCTGTCATTATCATGGTTCAACAAACCAGTGCCCCAGGCTGAAAGAGATGGGGCACGGATATTTTTCATTTTTTTTTTTATATCTGATGGCTCTGCAGTATTGGGTTTTCCTGAGTTCAGCACTACTACTTTTGTCAAACACTTTTATATAATTTCACATAAAAGAATGGACCTCTTATGGGATGTGCACATAGGATCTTATGCAGGAGAAGATTGTGCTACAAAGTTATCGCTGTCAAAACACCTGGTTAGAAAACCAATTTCCACCAGTGGACTGACATGACCGGACCTAGACCAACATTTGTCTTCTGCTGTTTCCATGTCAAACAAAAGCATTGGATACTAAAGTTTGGGGACCAAAATGTGGAAAGTAAAGGGTGCGACATCCCACATCATTACTCAAAAAAAGATATGCACAAGATGTCGGACTTTCAAGGAACACACAACAACCGGTACATTTAAATTACACTTCTTTAAATAAACATATTCCAATCATCTTTAAAATCACAAAAAGACATAGGAACTAGAAATCACTAAAACATGGCTCCCACTGACCATAAAACCTCATTAACGAATCCCAAACCAGAGAATGATTTATTCCCATAATCAACAGGTAAGTGTACATGTATTATTGCATTCCTATGTAATACATTATGCCATGTTGTATTAGACTTCATGCAGTTGGTTGGATGGGATTCAAGCTCTATGTGTTTCTTGGATAAATCCGCTTCATCAGGAGCAACAAATGAGGTATGTTAGGAAAACACACATTTCTACATACAGTAGATATCATTAGCTACAATGCATAGTATTTTTATACTATGCATTGTAGTCGCATCTCATATGCAGCCTCATCTCATATGCATAACACGCCCCAAGTTGTAATGAATGTGGTGAGGTGTCAGTCAATGAGTGACATGTAGCATTTGAGTTCTTCGGTGTTCTGACTAGGGCTACAAGGAATATTGGTCCCAGATTGTGTGGTGACAAATTGTGAGGAATGCGCCCCACTGTACCCTTCATTCTTCTGTTATGAGTATGAAAACCAGGCACCAATGCCATTATTTTGTTTAAGAAAACCTGCTCCCTTTATCATCCTCAAATTACCTAAATATATTTCAACTAATGCTCGAATGTACCTTAATTGACAGCTAGTTTCATTCCTATTCCATTGTCACTTGGTGGATCCATGGTCAGACACAACATGCAGAGGTCTACAAATATTTCTTAGCTCTAATGTGTCTTTTCATCCCATTATCTTATTGAAGGATGCTTATGGAACAGTCACTTGCTCTGCTGCAGTACTCGAACAGCCTTATTATAATTTACTGTTAAAGCACCACCATCAATTGTATCTGTATCCAACTATTTCTGTCTCCCTATAGATAAAATGTATTTAATACATGGGAAAAAAAATGGTTTGTGTGTTTATCTAGTTCACCACTATCAGCCTTCCTGCTCAGTCCAAGATCCTGAGGCAGCGGCTAACCAAGCATTAATATTTTCTGAGTCACACACCTATAACAAGTACTGTAGCTCAGGTGTAAAACTTCTCTGGCTGCGTGCATGAGCCTTCACTTATCTTAATTAGCTGAAATAAAGTGAAAATGTAAAGTTTATTTTGTAAATAATACCCAGTCATTTACAAAGCAATTTAAAAAAAATTGATTTTTGGTTGCACAACCTCACCTAATTTACTAGACTAAGTGAATTTTCTCTTCCAAAAGGGAATTTTTACTTAGCTAAGTGAACGAGGCAACATTTTAATTACTCAATGCCAACTTCAATTACCCAATCATGCATGACATTTTTTTTTAAATATTATTTGCGCATGATTAGGTATTCTTTGCAAGGTGAATGTTCACTTTGCATCACCGTATTCACTAAAATAAGTGGAAATTCACTTTGAAAGTGATTATGTTCTACTCCTTTAATAAATCGCCCCCAATGCTTATCTTTTTCAATACAATTAATAAACTCTATGTCCCGGACAGGCATAATGCTTCTAGTCTTCCTATTAGCTTGAAAATGGGAAGCAGATTTAGGTTCTAAATAAATAAATATCTACCGAGCTAAAAGATCTACAGTAAACTCTCTTTTATCTGGAATTCCACTAACCAGAGCTTTCATGTAACCAGAACACAGTATTGTGCTTTATATTAGTACAAACACACATATACACTCACTGGCCGCTTTATTAGGTACACCTCTTAACCGCTCGTTAACACAAATATCTAATCAGCCAATCACATGGCAGTAACTCAATACATTTAGGCATGTAGACATGGTCAAGAT